CCAAGGAGGCAGTTTTCACCCCTGTTTGTTTGTTTGATTCCACAAAAACAACTGGATGAATTATCATGAAACTTGGTGTGAGGATAAGGAATGGCTCATGAAAGAACCCATTCAATTTGGGTGAGGACCTGGATCAGAGGGCAGATCCAGAAATTCTTTTTTACCACTAGTGAGAGTGAGGAGTGATATTAATGAGTGTTTGAAATCTGGTGCAGATTCAAATCAAAACGTGGATCTAATTTAACTATGTTTTCATGAGAGGACTGTTGGGCATAGGGGAAGTTTACACTCTGGTGAGTGACATCATAGTTTAGAGGGCATTTAACTTCTATCTGTTTTTTATTTTAAACGGACTAAATACTTGACAAGAGACTAATTGTTATAGTTTTTTCCCACCTTTTAATTAATTTATAGAAATATAATAACATTGTCCTCAATGCTGGACTTTTCCAGCTAGCTCTGTACACAGGGCCACTGGGCCACATTATTTCCTCAAGTTTTTGTCGGTAAAACAAGATCTGTTGCTCTGTCCAATTCATCTGTACATGTTAAATATTTTCTGATTGCTTTCCCGTGTTTCATCACTGTCATTTTAACACATCTGCTGCCCTTCAGTTTCTTTCAGGATCCAACAGATGCTTCAAGGTCTTTCCCTCCTCCTCCCACTCATCCTCCTCCTCATCATCACGTTGACCTTCCCGCCTGTGGCTGAGAGCAGAAGGAGAAGTGAAAAAGAAAAGAGGAGGATCACTGCTGTCACTCTCAGGATATTGCAGCTTTTTATCCATTTCTACATGTACTGTTCTGCAAGCAACCAACCTGTAAACTGGTTCCTTGCAGAACCTGAACTTTGAGGAAACTTTGGTTTGAGGTTCTGTGTGTTTTCACTTCATTTAAAAAACTGGGATGTTTTTTAAAGTGTGTATCATTTAGCCCACATCATATTCACACTTTTAGTGTTTAGTGGAATCAGCAGTCATGAGAAAAGTGACACTGACCTTGTATTGAGTTATTGATTTTTTTGTGGTTTACTCTAAATCCAGACACAAGGACCCCTGCACAGTGACACATCTCAAGGACTCTGACAGACCATGCTGTGAATGTCAGCTGTTTATTTTACTTGGTCTTAGTCATTTGTCAAATTTGATCATATTTACTAAACCTCATCCTGTTTTTACCTCCGATAATGAGGTTGTTTATTTGTTGGTTGGTTTGTAAGTAAGGTTACACAAAAACTACTGGGCAGATTATTATGAAATTAGGTGAAAGGATGTAGTATGGGTCAGGGAAGAATCCAATTTCGGTGTGGATACTGATCAGGGGGCAAATCCAGAAATTATTTTTTATCAACATTTTAAATTTTTTCCCCTGATAATAATTCATGGATCTTGGTGGGCAAAAAATCAGACATATTTATTACATTACATTTAGCTGACGCTTTTATCCAAAGCAACTTACAATAAGTGCATCAACCATGAGAGAACAAACCCAGAACCACAAGAATCAAGTGAGTACTGTGAATGAGAAGAGACCAGACTTCTTAATACAATATAAACTGTTCAATGAAATTGAGTTCAGATTGTGTTCACACAACATTTCAGCCAGTCTATTCAAACCAGAAGCAATACCCTTTTTTCCATTTGGTCAAACTTACTTCTCATAGAATTCGATCTTATCATCACATGAAAAACACATGTGCTCCAAGTTGTATGCTGCCAGCTGGTGACGTCCTGATATGACGCAGGAAAAACTGCATTAAAAGGAACAGTCTGTTATTTTTTCCCCATCTTTTTCATAAAGAAAAATCAAGGTTCAGGTTAAGTTAATTTTTAAAGCTTTATTTTAGTCTAGTCTTTTCTCATGCACAGTATTACATGTTGACATAGTCACACTTAGTGATATTGGTACTCATCACATCTTAGTTATGGAAAAAAGGTCACAACGAACCAATTTTGATAAAGAGATAAACACTTGTATACATGCTGTAAATTTAATTATAATTACAATTATAATGGTTTTCATGTCCAATTTATAACAATTGTACATTTATGGTTTAAACATTCTCATAACACCATCTAGTGTTTCAAACTGTCTTGGACCAATGCTTACAAAGATTCAACCATTTGGCATGTCTCTACGTCATGACATATATATATATATATTAAGTTGTAATATATAAAAAGTTAAAACCCTCTAGGTGTAGCTCCTTGCCACCAGTGACTGATCGTGCTGTACTCATTTTTAAGGTAGGTAGGTGTATCCTTTTTTGAATTTCCAAATTTAACACTACCTGGAACTGTCAAGAATAACTGTACCCACCTTAAGTAGCCCATCCCATAACCCTTCTAAAGCACGGCACTCCTCTGAACACCCTTGGGACTGCAGGAGCCCACAGGACCTTTTTCCAGGACCTCTACAACCTCCTATTGGTCTGTTGAAACCTCCCGAAGGACACAATACAAAATCAAAATGATCAAAGCTTAAAGGGACAAAGCAGCACAGTGAGGACTGGTCAAGCTTATTGTTGGTTTCTCTCTTGAGGCAGTGGAAAGAAAAGAAAATTGTGTGTTTTATTAAAATAGTCACGTGGACCTTCATAACACAACACATACATTCTACTCGTTCTATGAAACTTCAGAGAAGTGTTGTATCTTTATACCTAAATCTTCCCTTATTTCTAGCAGTCCATCAAGGTCTTTTAAAGGGAATGGGAGATGGCACTCTCATTGGTTTATTACACTTCACACCCCAAACACACCCATGATTAACACCTTAAATGCACTTACACCGTGCTCTTTAAATCACGATTGTTAAATGGAGCCTAAATGCTGAGTTAGTGAAGTGTTCGTTGACGGACTGAATTCATTAGGATTTGAACATACTGGCAGTCGAGGCTGTGTCAGCAGCAGAAATCAAGCCTCCCGCTGCTTCTTTCTTGAGATGAAAGATGTGGATGTGCGTTCAGGAGGCAGAGCTGATGATGGCGGCATTCATCAGAAACCTCACCCGAGATAATGAAAACAAACATTCAGTCGATATGAGACTGTCGGAAACAGACGCCTGCACCGGGCTGCTTCATTTCACTGAACATGTTTTAATTTGCGGCAGCAGAGATGAGTCAGCGCCTCCTGATAATCACCTCAGCCTCCGTCTGTTTTACATCCTGTGATGACTGAGACTGATCACATTAACATGCTGGGTTTTCCAGGCACACTCTTGTCTCAGGCTGTTGCTCTGATTATATATGCTATCTATAACACGTCCCTGAGGAGCACTGGAATATCCTCAAGGACCTCAGGAGTCTCTCCAGGAACACTGGATCCATACATACGTACATACAACAACCAAAAGCCTTAGGAGCATAATCAGCTGCAATAGAAGAATAGTCAACAGAATAGTAATAGACAGATAGACTCAAGGAACTCCTGCTAAATGGACCCTTGTTCACATTATAGAAAAGTCTTTAAAGGGATAGTTCACCTTCAATTGAAAATTCACTTATTATCTACTCACCACTATGCAAATGGAGGACTGGGTGAAGTGTTAGCATTGCTACTGTTTTAGGCTTAAGACATGGTATTTATGATGCTGTTTCGAGTTGAATTTGAATGTCAGGGCTTACAGACACTTAGATGACCCCACAGGAGCAGTATGGAGGCATGCTGTTTATTCTGCTTGAAAATGTATCACAAATTACTTCAATTCTACTGGATTCGGCTGCAACTCTTTCCCCCTTAAACTCCAAAAGTGTTTTGTGGACTCAAGCACTTCACCCACCCCTCCATCATCATAGTGAGTAGATAATGAGTGAATTTTCATTTTAAGGTGAGCTATCCCTTTAAAGACTTTTGTCAAGTCCAAGACAACAGTGGGAACATCATCATGGTGCCTCTTCAAGGACCCTTGGCACCTACCCAAGAATATCTGGAACCTCTTGAGGGACTCAAAATCCAATTTAAAACTTTAGGATGTCTAAGATCTCTTTAAATATCCATTTTTAACATTCCTAGAACCATCTCAAAACCCCATGATTAGACCAAGAGAGTATCAAGCACCAGCAGAACCTCCTTCAATGTCCTTAAAACTTCCTCAGTCACCTAAAATAACCTGTGTCCAAATCCCTGCAGCCTCAACCTCCTTTAAAACATATTATATGTAAGCTTTGAGCTTCTTCTTGAATTGCTGTTCCCTTTTTGAGGTTTCCCAGAATCCTCTATGGGTCCCCTACAAACCGCCTGTGTCGCAGGAGTCCTTCTGAATCTCATTTGATGCGCTTAATATTTTCTAATGAACAAAAAGAACCTCCTTCAATGCCCCTAAAGACGTCTAAAAACACCTCTAACATTCTGGAAACTCCAATGAAATAATAACAATAATAATAAACTTTATTTATATAGCACCTTTGAGACATAATTACAAGGTGCTTAACAAGTTACAAAGAAAAATTAAAGGGAAACAATAGGAAACAATAAAAAGTAATTTGAAGAACAATGACTCACTGAGGACCTCAGGTTTCAAACAAGCACATATGGTGTCAAAAGATCTAAAATGTTCTAAGGTGAAAATCCACAATGGGGCTGAAATGTCACCAATAAAATCTTAAGATCTATTCTAAAATTGACTGGAAGCCCATAAAGAGAAGTAAATATGTCCAATATGCTCTCTTAAAAGATTTGCTCTGGCTGCTGCGTTTTGGATGAGCTGTCAACTCTGTTGGCTCAGGCAGGTGAAGAGAGAATTGCAATAGTGCAAATAAGATTAAATGAAGTCATGAATGGTTCTTTCGTTTTGCTGATCTTTGAGTTTTCTGAGCTGCATAAAACTCGACTGGACAACTGTGCGAACACGATTAGAAGGTGAGGTCATTATCAAAGGTGACACCAGGATTTAACATTTGAACCCAATGTATTGTGACAGAGCACCGAGGTGGATGTGCAGGTACGGACAGTGTCAGGGCCAATTGTCATTAGCTCAGTCTTGTCAATAATTAAGTGCAGAAGTTTTTAAGCCATCCAGCATTTTATTAAAAACCTCCCACACTTCCAACCTTAAAATAATCCTCTGTAGAAACATTATCTACTCTCAGTGCTGTTATCTTTCATAACAATGAGTGTCTTTGTTTGTCTTACATGCTGCCCAATCCTTTGCATGGTTTACTGACTGAAGCTGCCACCTGCTGGTCAACATTTAGCATCACAGCAACAAAATCAAAACACGCTCACTGTCTTGTTTCTGTCACCTGCAAACGTCTTGTCTGTGCATTTCATTAACAAATGACCAGAACCTGTAACAACACTTCATCTGCATCTCTTAACCTGAGAGGATCCTAACATAGGAAGTTAAAATTGAAAAAATCAACTCCCTGATTTTCTTACAGCATCCAACAATCCAGATCACAACTTTCATCAGAGCAGGTTCAGCTCAGAGAATCACATTCAAACTTGTCTACAGCCTGACTTTAGATAAGTCATATCACTGACTTAAAGGCATCATTTCAACAGGGACAAACTACTGAGTTTCCAATAAAGTGAAAAGCAACAAAAAGCTAAAGATATTTTCATATATAAGTAAAGAACAGAAATACAAATTTATTATTCACAACCACTGAGGTTAAAACAGACAAAATGGTCCTGACTGAAGATTTGGCGTTTTGTCTTTCAGACACAATGAAGGAAGACAGAGTCGTGAGACAGTTCATGATGTCATCACTCCTCCAGGTCACTGAAGCCATTGCTGAGCAGGAAGTGAGGTCGGATCAGGGACAGAATGGGGCCCCTTGGTGACCCGCCCAGGCAGTATGCCTCATCCACGCTAACGCCCTGGGACCGCAACATCAGCAGGGCGGCGGAGCAGCTTTCCCTGCCGCCACGTGACGTCACCAGGACCATGCTGAGAGGGCTGTCGAACATGCCGAACCGCTGCCGCATCTCACCCAGCTGAGCCGAGAAACTCTGCAGAGGAAGAAGTTAAATTATCCTTTAATTAAATAAAATCTGTTGGCGCATTTGACGATTTTAAATCAGTCCAGGAAAAAGTGCCGAGCAACATTGAAAAAAGTAAAGATGAAGTTTTAGCAGGATATTGCCACGGGCACCATGGTGGCCTGTTAGCTCACCGGCATTGGGCTGTTGTTGGAATGGACGACGGCGTCTCCGCAGAATAAAACTCTGAGCTGCTCTGATGGACAGGCGGCCATGTTCTGGTCCAGCAGTGCAGAGAGAACACCTGGAAAAATGACAAGAAGGATGGTTCACAATTCTGAGCTTTCAGGGTAAAATGACATATGTTGCTTCAGGTCACTGTAAACTTTACCTTTGACAACTGAAACACAATCACTTTATCTTTGAGCCAAGTGACAACTGATCAAAAGGTGAAGAAATTCAGTTTTAAGATATCACATTTAAGAGGCCAAAAAACTGTTTTTTGAAGCCACCGAGACCTTTGACCACTAAAATCGAATCAATTTATCAGTGAATCCAAATGAGCCTGAATTCCCTAATATGCCACATTCATCTAATCAGTTAATTCCAAGTGAAATCTTGTACCAAGTTTGAAGACATTCCCTCAAGCTTATCTTAGGATATTTTCAAGAACAACAGAAACATACTTTGTGAGGCAACTGTGACCTTGATCTTCGGCTACGAAAATCAAGTGAGTTAATCCTTCACTCCAAGTGAATGTTTGTGCCAAATGTAAAGGAGCCATGACGTTGACCTCTGACCACATAAATCGACCCAGTTCATCCTTGAGTCCAGGTGAATATTTGTACCGACTTTGAGGAAAATCCCTCAAGGCATTCGTGAGATATCGCGTTCATGTGACAACCAGAAAACATAATGCCTCCGTCCACTGGCTGTAAAAACGTTAAAATGCCCCAAACGTGTTTTATTTTCCAAGCTGTTATCCCCTGATTAAGAGTTCTATATCCTGTCCTCTTTTACCAAACATGAATTTTCAGGCTCTTCGATCTGACAGTTGTAAGAACTCCTCAGAAACCTGCAGAGCTTCACATCAGCTGTAATACATGACAGAGAACACTAAACCTCCTGACCATTCTGTGATGCTTGTGACGCCTCCTTTCTGTCTGATGACAGGAAGAGCTGCACGTTGTTTGTCCGCAAACCATCGATGAAATCCTCCGCGGTGGAAAAACAAAACTTGCTGACTTCAAGACCTGTAACAGAGTAACAATGAAGTCAATTGTGTCGCTGACAAGATGAAAAAGTGATCAGGTGCAGGATTAAATCTGTCTCATGATGAGGACTGTTCAAGTGAAATCACCATAATGTTTGGTGCTGCTGATGATGCGGGAGCTCTGCTGCTGCCTGTCAGTGGTGACCAGGATGACATCAAACAGCAGCGACTCAGCAGGATTCTCCTCCAGCAGCCGTTCATTCACTCTCTGGAGCGCCTGACGAGAAAAAGAGGAATAGTAGTTATTAATAAACTGGTTTTATGTGAATGATAAAAGGTAGACATGATTAGATTTTTACAAGGATTCAGGTTTGATAGGGGATTTGATACTAGACTAAGACTTAATAAAGTGCTAAATTTATCAATTTAATCAATTGCTTTAGTCATTTGACAATAAAGTTAAAAAATATAAGACGTTTGCAGATTTGAACCTTTCAAAAGACAATCTGTTTCCTTTTCTTGTCATCGTGTCACAATTCAAGTACCAGGAGGTCTGATCCAACAAAACAAGAAATAAGAACACATCAACTACAGAATCGTGGAAAGATGTTTGACACTTTTTAGATGATTCAAAGATTAAATGATGAATCAAAATGATAGTTTGTGTCTGTGTATCGTCAGACTAACATTTTAAATCAAACAATTATTATGAATGACTACACGCACACACACACTCAGTGTTGAACTCTGACCTGTAGCAGTGGGAACGCCATTCCCACTTTGTACACCTCATCACCATCATCAGCTCCAGATTCAAACACTGCATGGGCTGTTACTGCGACGACCACTGCACGATCAGCATCCTTCTGCAGATAAGACACAGAACCGGCATCTTCATCTATACTGTTAAATTCTGGATTATTAATATTAAGTGTGAAAAGTAAAAAAAGTACAATGTTTTCTCCAAAACTGTAACGAAGCAGGAAATGGCAATAGTCAAGTAAAGTACTATTTAAACATCAAATGTTCTATGTGACAAAAAACCTTTTAAATGTTCTCACTTTCTTAAAGAACAGTTTGCTTGTTGTGTTTCAGGACCCTTACATTCTTAACAACTACTGTAATTACTTTTATCCTAATATTCTGCAAAATGAATGAAAAAACTGTCTTTAAATAATCACATTACTTCACGTTCTTATGCGAGCATGCAGTCTTGTATACTCCCTATAGTCTAAACACATTGCAACAACCACTTTGTTCTCCTGTCGCAGAATCTGCAATGTTAGTGCTGCGGTCAGGCTGTATTTGTAATCTATTAGTTTAATAGATTAACTTGCATTACACAGGTTTACGCTTTGAGATGTTCTTCCACTTTGATGGGACGTTTGTGAAAAGTAAATGAAGCACATTTAAGTAAACTGTAGTCGCAAACGTCCCGAGTTAAACGACTGACGTGATGTTCTCTCAGAAAAGGAGGAACAAGGTGTTTGAACACAGAAGAATGTGAGAGTTGACGGTGTGGAAGCGTGAGAAGCAGCAGAGCAGAGAGTGAGACGGAAGTGTGTGAGGGGAACTCAGCCCTGCAGCCTCAGCTCAGTCAGTCTCACCTGCTTCACCTCGGGGTTTAGGACGGTGGAGTCCATGTCCGCCTCTCAGCTGTCACCCTGCAGTCCAACACTCTGTAACACCAGCTGACCTGTCAAACTTCCCCCCCCACACACACACACAGCAGGGGATTTAGGTTCCTTCTGCTTCTGATGTTGAATGGCGGTTGATAAACAACTTATCAGTGGATCACTGCCACCGTCTGGAAAGGAGTGCGAGTCAGAATGGATATTTACCTTTTTACATAGTCTACGACAGGGCGCGCCTCCCCTAGGGGGCGCCACAGTTCTTCAGGGGTGGCGCGATTGTGGTGATGTGAGGTGTTAAAAAAGAAAATGTGAGGTGTTAAAAAAGAAAATGTGAGGTGTTAAAAAAGAAAATGTGAGGTGTTAAAAAAGAAAATGTGAGGTGTTAAAAAAAAAGCACAGATGTTTAAATGTGTAAAAAAAGATGATCAAAAAGTACAGATGTTTGAAATGTGTAAAAATGTGTTGAACAACCATTTTTTAAGTATGAATGGAACATCTGGTCAATGCTATTTACATAAATCCTGTTATAGAGTCCTGTGTTTTTTAGAAACCTGAATAAATCATATATATATATATACAGAGTCCCTCTGTAGTATTTCTCTTCGACTTAGTGTCACACAGTTTATTCGGGGTGAGTTTTAAGTGTCTGTCTCTACTAATGTGGACAGATTAAAGACATATGCTTCCTGCTGATTAAAACTGTCCCATCCCTGTCTGTGTCATGTCTGTTCATTATCTTCAGGCTGCTGTTTAGACCTTTATGACCAAACCTCATTCATCCGAACCTGTGTTTCTCTGGTGGTTCCTCTCTTCCACCTACTTCCTTTTGAATACCATATTAGTGTTCTATTCTACTCCTGCTAAACTATGTGATCTTATTTCCTCGGGCCCATTCTTCCTGACATCCCTTTGTCAGGTTGTATTTAGGTTCCGCCTTCTCACGTTAGCTTTAAGAGCGCAGCGTGATGACATCACTTCCTGGTTGTGCAGCCGCTGGTCGCCCCGCCCTCATCAGGGACATTCGTGCCAGGTCCGGAGTTGAACCAACAACCCTCCTCCATGCCTGGAGGTATCGTCGGTGCAGAGGCGGGAGGACGGTCTGGAACGGGCTCAAGGGGAGAGTAGACCGGTCTGGAGCGGGTCCGACCCGGTGAGAACAGAAGGAGGCAAAGTTTGCTCCGGTGTCGGTTCACGGTGAGACACTCCTCTGTCCCCTCTTTCCCTTCCTGCCTCCTTCATTGCTTGCTGTTAATCTCAGTCTGTCACTCTAAGATGTCCACGTGTCCGATCGGGGTGTCACGACCTCGTCAGTTTCTTACGCGGTCCTCTCGGAGGTCCGCAGGTGAAGACCAGTTGATTGGCTGTCAGCAGTTCAGATGGCTGCAGGCCTGGATGAATCTGAAGTATTGAATCCAGCTCCCTCACTATGCAAAGAGTTGAAGACCTGGAGGCAAAAATACAACCAGGAGTTATCTATCAGTTTATTCCGTGGCTCAGGATGAACCACCTCTCCACTGTCATTATATCCTCATGCGTTCAGGAGGCGATCAGGAGCTACTGTACAGCTGGAATTAGTATTTGATTCACTCAAATTGAAAGTTAATTCTCGACAATTTGATTAACTACTTAATGACTAAGGTATTTTTTTCAGATCAGACACTAATACAGTAAAACAGCCTTGATGCAGAACATTAGGGTGAGGATGGAGGGAAACAGGTCTGTAGCTCCACCTTCTGATCTGCAAAGAGCTTGTAATCCTTTACAACAGGATGGTGAAAGAGGCAAGAACATCCTATTTTTCCTAATCTCATCACTGCCCATCTGAGCAATCCCAGGTTCTTTAGAGATCACATCACACCTGTCATATTTACATCGTGTTTACATTGGCCCCCACTTTGTTCTAGGGTTGATTTTGAAATTGTATTCATTACTGTTAATGCTGTTCATGGCCTGGCCTCAGGCTGAATAGCTATTCTTTTAATTTGCTATTTACTTCTGTGCAGCTTGTGTCCTTAATTTACTTATGGTGCAATGCTATTCTATGTCTTTTATTATTAATATTACAATTATTATTGATGTACTTCCTTCTGTATTTTAACCATATCTTGTTGTGCAGCACTATGTGTTGGAATGGGCTTTCTTAATTATTTAATAATAATAATTATTATTAAAATATTATAGAGAAAACCAACAGTTCTCACAAGACACAAGGATATGTGCTCCGGAGAGCCTCATTAACTGGAAGAAACTTGTAAGAGAACCAGACTCAATGACCTGTTGGGGTGAGCGGAGAAAGATTAGGAAGGGAGAGGAGAGGTTGGTGGAAAAGAGGAGAGAACGATCAGATCCTTCCTGAGGTCCAGTTATTTAACCACAGAGTAAATGGAAACCGTTTGATAAAGCACAATGTTACAAACAAATACAGCTAACAAAAAGCAAAAAAAAAAAGATGCTCAATGAAGAAACTCTCTTAAAGAAAAAGACAAAAGATGGGAACAGGAGGACACATCAGAGCTAATATTGATTGAGAAATTTGCGATTAATTAAATTATTTTGAGTAAAGCTGAGGGTGTTTGGGCCTCTGGGTGGTTACCCTCTTTGCCCTTTTGGTCAGCTGTACTTACATTTAAAGTTAAGCGAGGTGAAAAACCTCTGTTTGTCACAGGTCTGTTTGTCTCACTGTCTAATGTCTCTGTGATCCCAGATACTGCAGCTGTATGTTTGTGCCTGTTATCCTGCTGCAGAATGAATCCGGGATCGATCAGACACCCCCTGACGGTGTTATGTCATCAGTGTAATGTGATCAATAAGAGGTTAATCAGGTCATGCTCAGTAGGAAGTCAATGAACACTATGTAATTCTCTCTTTCAGCCATTCTGACCCAATCTGTCTATAAATACCAGAGTTATAGTCATTCAGTCAGTCAAGTGAAGTGTCTGTCTCAGCTGTGCAGACAGTGTTGTAGTGTGTGTAGGTGAAGAACAAGATAATCATTACAACCTGTCAGACCGGTCACTCTCTTTGTCTGCGTGCTGGCATAGCATGCAGGGTATTGTTTAGTGGGCTGTGGTGTGATTAACCTTTGGTTACCTGATGGGTCAAACGTGAAAGGTCAAGTTCAACCAAAATGTGGCCCTCAAAACCAGCTGGAAAAGGATGCCAATAATAGAGCGAGAGAGAAGTGTATATTGCTCAGAAAATCATTTGTCATCATATGTTGTCATATGATAAGTAACATTATGAGGAAGTTACAAAGAAGTCGGATAATGATGCGTGAGGTATGATGACTGAGGTATATACAGCATGAGCATGCTTTGCATCACCCCCTGATGCTTTTAATCTCAACTCCTTTATGTTCTGTTGGACAGTTCAAACTTATAAAGACAATCCTGGCCTCACTTCTTATTCAAATGAAAAAGTAAGTGTTAGTGCACTAACTGACTGTGTCCTGTAACAAGAAGTATGAGGCATGTTCTTTTACTAGAATTAGGATTAATCCGATTTTAGTGTTGTGTACAATGTGCAGAAGAATTAATGAATTTTATAAAACAATAGTTCAGTACTTGAGTGAAAAGTGCTTCGTTAGGTTCCATCGCTCCACTCAGTCAAATGCTCCGACTTGTTCAGACAGTGTTGAAGTCGATCAGATACAAAACCAGTCATTTTTTCCCCCACCAGAAGTAGTTAGACCAGTCAGACTGCTCAGTGACCTCCTGAACACACCTCCACCCTAAATCCTTCACAGTCAGCTGTCTTCACTGACTGTGTTTAAGATCAGGGCTGTAGCTACAGTTGACGACATGTACGCCTTCGTGTCAAGCTCTGACTGTACTGAATGCTCCTAAGGGAGTATTAAGAGTATTAAAAGTAAAAGTACTGCAGAATGGCCCATTGCACTGTGTTGTACAGGATTATTGGTGCAAAAGTGCGAAAAAAAGTACCATGCAATCTGCAGGGTACTTTTGTGTGATTATATTTCAATGTATAAATAACACATACATATAAAGTGATTGCGAAAACCCACAACTTTTTCCTAGAAATACAGTCGGTACATATTTCTTATCTTGTGAATCCTGCTGACTCTTCTTGTGCAGTAGCACTGTTGTACAGTTCATATTTGTGGTTCAGAGTAAAACTTTGTCCCTTTAGGAAGAATTTGAACAACTTTAGGGGATCCCTTTACTGTCTATGTAGAGTTTTAAACAAAAGTTTGGTCCGTGCAATTTTCTTGATGCTTTGTTTGGTCCTTAAAATAAAAATAATGACAAGTACATGTGATAGAATAAACACATGATGCTGTATTTAATTAACTTTTTCATCAAGAGTCCGGACTCTCAAAATGTATAGTTTACTATCACACATTGCCTCTTTGATAGAAAGAAATGATAGGGATTAAACCCAGACTCCAGGTGTTTTCACTATCCCTTAGAGACTCTGGTCCTCGGTTCAGTGTGGAAAGATCAGGAGATGAAACATGAAGAGGAGGGACGATAAGCAGCAGATGTTCCTCCCTGATCAAACACTATGATGACTTTAATTATTTGTATGAGTGGGCTGGGTGGTGTTGATACTCCCTGGACAAACAAAGCTTCAAATCAGTTTGTGTTGAAAGAATAATCTCTTGTCGAGGTTTATCTCACATGACGCATATTAACAGCAGACGGGACGATTCCATTACAAATGTCTTGATTTGATTCATTCAAGTTCTGAATGTTTATAGCCATGATCTCTCAGCATGGTAGCCTGATTTTCATAATGTTTATATATGTATGTATTTGTATATCTATAGAATTGTACAACTGTAACATCTATACGTCAGTTTGGGCGAGGTCTCTATAGTGGATAAATTAAAGTGTTTAACAAATAAAATGGCTGGTATCTGTGTACCACAACTGAACCTCAATCATGGCAATCCATCCAACTTTTACAGTTTGGATCAAAGCGGTCAACCAACAAATACCAAAAAATATGTCAGTTCAGTATCAGTTAATTCAAAATATAATTAACCATTACTTTGTCTTTTCTCTTGTTCTCCTTGTCCTCACCTGTTCCAGTTTCTGTAGCTTGGTCGTCAGTTATGTTCAGGTAGAGGCTAGTTCCACGGCGCTCGACATGCTGAGGCGTCTGGACAGGATCCGGTTCCGGAGCCAGAGACGGGATGACTTCCTGGATCTGGCTGATTCGCCCAACACATCTGACACAGAATGCACCGAGGAGGTCATGGTGAAACCTCACCTCTCTTCCAGAGACTCAGAGGAGCTGAGGGAAGTGGAGGGAGAGCAGCAAGGTGACTCTCAGGTAGAAAAACACTTGTCTGATCTGTACTGGGAAACCTATGAGACATAACAATACGTTCATTCTAATCCTGATCATGAAGATTTCGTTTTTTAAAGCTTTAAAAACAACAGCATTTTAAATGCTGGTCTGACAGAGCTTGATATTAAGACTAAAATGAAGATTTGTTAACCCGACTCTTACCTTTTGTAATATACTCAAACATTTAGTTCTTACAGGATATTTGTGCTTTCTTTTCATGGTTTTGTCTGTTATTCTCATGCTCTGGTAGGATTTTAATCATCACTTTGATTATAAAGATTTTTATAAACAAATTAGGAGAAAATAATCAGAAAAATGCTCGTACTGTGTTGAGATCTATAATGTCAACAAGTTCTTATCTGGTTAAGTAAAAGTTAATAGTCATGTAGAGAGCACATTTTGGAGGTCCCAGGATTGAACTCTGTGGCACCTCACAAAACAAAAGCCATCATCCTTTCTTGTAACGGACTGTTGTTGCTTTTATATTTTGTCTGGTCATTATTGCACATTTCTTTGTTTATCATTCAGGCAGGTCCAGGATCATTTTCTGCAGCTCTCCAAGATGACTCCAGGACAGATCTGAATGAGGTCAAAGGGCACCTAGAAATTGCCTTGTTGGAGAAACATTTCTTAAGTGAGTTCTCTGAGCTGAAGTGCACTGTGTGAGGTTTCTCTTGTACTCATAAAGCTATCTTTATCATTTCAGACTGGGACTGTACGGAATGAATACAGTGACTTTACATATAACATTTTCAGAAAACACACCAAAGCCCCATTCAGAGAGGAGCAGACATTACACGAGGAGGTTCCCTCTTCTTCGTTTGAACAAAAGTTGTCTTTTCTGCACAACACCAAAAAATCTAATAAAAAAATAACCACACTTCATGTGATGACCAAATCATCTATGTGACCATTACCAAACTCAGTAGAAGAAGCTTAACAGTTACGATTACTTCACAGACTTAGCGTTGCCCTGTTGTAACAGTGTGAGGCTCACGATTTACAATTATAAAAGAATCAGATTGGAATGTTCTACACTACCCACAATTCAACACAGGTTAACCAAGGTTCCCAAAGTCAAGAATGAAATTTCAGGTTCAGAAATATAAATAAAACAAGTAAAGTGCCTCCTTTAGATAGAAAGTGCTCATGTTGATTGGCCCCAGCACAACCACATGTTGGGTAATCCATTAATATCTGCCCATCTGTTTTATATAACACACACATACACACAGCTATTTATAACCTTGCTGACCTCATCTGACACACACACACAACAAGAACAGTGTTTCACTAAAACTATGAATAGTATTTAATGTATCAAATACAAGTCTTGATTGGATAACTTATAGTGTGCTTGGTCACAGTTAGAGGTTATAAACAGGCAGCAGAATGGTGATTCAATTTATGAGTATGTGGAGACTAATCTTTTTAACTCTGTTCTCAGATTTGTGAAACAATCTTTAAATATGTAGACTGTGTGAATGTGTAAAGGAAACTTTACATGTAAACGAATTACTACATGTTCACACAAATTGGTAAACTTGTACACATAGTGCATACACAGTTGTAAATGTGAATAAGATTTGCTTGTGTTAAAGAAACTGTAAATGTTTCATTATCTGTCTATAGTTCAAGAATTTATTTTCTACCTCCTTATGAATGCAACCGCCAAAACAAAACATGTACTTATAGTAAGCAATTGAGACTCCATCATATTCTGCCTTGTGGCACCAAAACTACAACCACTACACATGAATATCTGAGTCTGGGCTGAGGGTGAAGAAAATCCCGAGCTGCTGACAGATGGTCTCACACATTTGCAGTTTCTCTGTTGCAACAGGAGAGTCGCAAAAGTCACAACAGAAAACCTAATTGAGATGCATATTTTTAAGTTTTACCGCTAATCGTTTTAGAGTGGAAATTATTGGAGATGTCAGTACACAAGTACAGATTCATATTCATTCAGATTCAGATGTGTGCACCTATATGCTGGCTGTCTGCACATTTTGCGAACCTCAGTTCACTTGCAAAGCTTTCTGTACACATTCACAAATCCAAATGCATAATTTTGCTGACATTCACACATAAAGTTACATAAACCTAAAATAAGTTTTGAGAACTGTCACAGCAGGTTTGGTTTCAGAAAGACAAGATTTTATTATGAATTGTTTTTTATTGTAATATTAGTCCAACCTCTTACTATAACCTGAAATACATAAAGCTTTTATTTTCTAACTCTAAGTAGTGATTTTGAAAAAAAACAACAGTTAGAGAACGATGTTTACTTTAATCAGCATAAGCTATGAAAGTGAGTGGACTATCCCATTTATGGCTCTTCTCATAACTCTTATCAAGTGACCTTCCACCTGTTTCAGACGAGGAGTTGAGGAAAGTTAAAGAGGAGTCCAACGTAGATGCACTGAAACAGGAACTGGAGAAGGAGCGCTGCAAGCGAATGGAGCTGGAGCAGAAGATCAATGACGTCCTTAGATCCAGGTGATTACTAAAAAAACATATGATAATAACACACTTTATTTAATGAGTTGGTTTGAGATGGACAGATGCCTGCTCTCACTGATGGATTGTCTCTGTCTGCCTGAAAACCTCACAGACTTGAAGACTCGCCATGTCTGACACCTAAAGCCCCGCCCCTTCCTCCACCGCCAGGCAGCGGCACAGGTGAGCTGCACTATCTCCCTCTCTGTTCACTCCCAGTTCTTCCTCCTACATCAGAACATCTGTGCTTTATGCTCTAAAGGAAATCAGTACTGCTGTAATAATGTGTATTACTGAGCACAGAGTTAGTACTGGTATTGTACTGGACTGTTTGATATTGTAATGTGCTTCTAATATTCTTCTCCCACGTTTCTAAATGTGGTAGAAAACACATAAGAAATACCGGTCAATACTATTCAGTCCAGTTCAGAACCACACGTCATTTAGGGCTGCACAATATATCAAATAATGTATCGTCAGCGCGATATCGAAATGCGCAATATATGCATATCACAAAAGAGGCGTCGAACTGCGATGAATTATGATCAATGCGTCATTCATTCACGCTCTGCATGTCAATTTATTTGTCCAATCAGATCACTGCTGCCCTAGATAATGAATTAAAGGGGAAGGGGCACACATACTGACTCCTCTGCTCTCTCTCTCTCTCTGTGTAAGTGTGTGTGTCTCTCTCTCTCTCACTCAGTTGACATCTCTGACTCGCTGCAGTTTACAGTTTTGTTGATTTGTTTGAAATGATGCCACAATATCAACACTGATCATCACATAATGATAAAGACTTTTCCTAATGAGTTAAATCTTTCTTCAGAGTCCGCTCCCTCGCTCTCTGACACACACACACACACACACACACACACACACACACACACACACACACACACACACACACACACACACACACACACACACACACACACACACACACAAACAGTTTGATCGGACACGTGTAAACTCAGATATCTGTCTGAGATTTAAACCCTCTAGCACTAATACAAGTTTTGTAACAACCTCTGTCTATAAAACAGTTTTTCTTTTGTTCTCCTCAGACAAACAGAAGGACACTCTGTCCAATAGTTTCCTGAAATGGCTTTATGACCGTTTCGGGGTTTATATAGAAGACTTCCGTTTTCAGCCGGAGGAGCCGACGGTGGAGACAGAGGAGCCGCTGAGTGCCAAAAGGTGAGGGGGAAAATCTGTTATCTTTCATTGCAAAGACTTTTCAGCACAGCTGTGATGCCAAGGAGCTTCACTGTATAAGTAACAGCAGATACACATTTTAGTAATGCAGACACTAACTTTATGTCTTTATTGTGTTGAGAGCTGTATTTGTCTTGAATCCAGATAACTTACTGGTTTACGTTCCGCAGGTTGACTGAAAACATGAGACGTCTCAGTGAGTATTCCTTAAATTGTTTGGTCACTATCTTTCACTATCTGTGTTCATTGGCCTTTTATTCATTTTGAATGAAATGGATTAAATCTCTCCCTCTCATTCTTAATAAGAACATTTAAATTTAAAAAGAGAAATTTAACAAGCTTAAATAAATATAAACTAGAATGCTGCACACTAAAGTGCATGCTTAACAGCTGTTTACTCACCAAAGTTACCAGTTCAGCATCAAACGTCAGCCTTTACTAGCTGACAACTGTTTCTAGCACTGGAAAGCCACGTTGGGTTTTATTCCAATCACCTCTTCCATCCCTGGACCAGTCGTTTTGTCTTGTGACGCAGTGATTCATGGTAGTTCATCTCAGAGGACCTATTATAATTGGTAGACACAACAGTGGCTCAAGCTTTTGGCAAAACATGTTTCATTCAGGGATAACCTAAATGTAGCATCTGTAATGTGGTCCAGATTTGACACGTGCATCTTAAGTATCTTTTTGACCTGGACCTAATCTCATGTGGTCCACATGAGGGTGACTGATTTAACAAATAGAATAAATGTCCCACAAATCTGTAAAGAACAGTGTTGTCGTACCTTTATCAGTTTATTTAAATCTTAGCTCAAGACAAACTCTCAGCCTGTGATTGGTCAGTTTTCTTGCTGTCCTGTTTCCAGAACGGGGATTTAAACCAGTGACCAACTTCAAGAGGAACCTTACCGCCTTATCCAGCTGGTACTCGGTCTACACGTCAGCCATCGCCTTCATTGTGAGTCCGCACACACTCAGAGCTCAGACTGAGCTTTGTTTTGAGCTGTGATGAAAACACACACAAACACAAGATTGTTGATCTGTGCACACAATGTGGCAACAATAACATACAGAAACAAAAAAACCTGGATTTTTATTATTGTTTATACATTAAGATTTTATTATAAGGAGGGAACTGCAGGGTTATTTAATTTTTTTAGAGAATTAATATTTGTATTATTTTAATGATAACAGTGTCATTTGTTTTATGTAAATAGAATCAGAATTATTATAATTTACTGCTTTCTTTTGGTAAATTATCAATTATTGTCTAATCAACAAATATGTCCATATCATTAATATATTTCATGAATAATTTAAAGTAGGAAAGGGAACCGTTTGCACTTTTTATTTTTATTGGTCCATGCCAGCTGTCACTTCGACACCAAAAAAAGATCTCTGTTTTTGTTCACTTCAGTCTCAATAATTCACTTTACGTGTGTGTGTGTTGTGTTGTGTGTAAATGTAGGTCTACATGTATGCAGCGTGGCATGGCTGGGCCATCCCCATGTTCCTCTTCCTAGCCATCCTCCGGCTGTCCTTAAATTACCTCATTGCCAGGTCAGTGAAAGCCACACCCACTCTCTGTCAGCTAATCACACAGCCAGGAAAAGAAACTGAATCCTTTTTTGGGGGAAAGTTCTAGTGGTCGAAATGCAGCTTATGTTAGTTTTGATCACTGAATGCATCTTAGTATTAGTTAGAGTTAAGTTTTACACTAGAAAGAACCCTAGGTCATACATATCTGCTAAAAGACTTGGGTCCACTGTGGTTCCAATCACTGAACCATTAGGCCAGCTGACGTCCAGTTGATGAGCATTTAGATTCGGAGTTGTGATATGCCCACATGTTTATTATACATATATAGTACATGTTTATCTATTTTATACTGACACGCCACTTTGTCCATCCACACAAACTGAATCAGTGATCATAAAACACATGCAGCATTCACTGTGATCAGTTTGGATTTAAATCTGGACTAGAAGTTCTGGAACACATGTGTAGTGATTGTGAAATGATCTCATATGTACCCATGATGCACTGCTCTTAGAGGCTGGAGAATCCAGTGGAGCATCGTACCGGAAATCTCAGAGCCAGTGGTGAGCAAACTCTCCTTTCACCTGCGTGCACTTCACCTTTTAAAGCATTTAGTTTTACCTTCTGCATCAGCCTTTAAAAACGAAAATTAATTTGTGCAGATTTCCTTCCGGCTTCACACGCTGGACAAGTTAGATATTACATTTCTGAAAAGAAATTGAAGATGGCCATTTTACTAAAATGTATAATGATATGTTTTAATATGAAGTGTGTTCAGGATGGTGTCTAGTTGATGTCAGGTGATTTTCAGTTGTCATGTGATGTTACAGCTCCGTCTTCTCTTTATTTTCCAGGAGCCCCCTAAAGAAGACCTGACTGTGTCTGAGAAGTTCCAGCTGGTTCTGGACGTTGCTCAGAAAGCACAGGTGAGCCTCTTCATCACTGCCAAAGCCAAAGTAGTGACAGTAAACTGCAATTAAATGATTTACTACTAGAGAAGGTTGAAATTGTGACAGTAAATACCTGAAGCAATAGAATTCAGGGTGAAACGAGGTTAAATCAATAGGAGGAACTTGCATGAGGCGAGAAAGATAAATAGTTGTTGTCTGGGTGAACACACACACTCTCACAAACAGTGAAACCAGGAGAAAGTTGGGCACATGTTCAGACACCAACCTTTCTTTCCTTTTTTTTTCTTTGATCCATATAGAATCTGTTTGGGAGGATGGCCAACATCCTGGAGAAAATAAAGAAGTGAGTTTGTGTGTACTCGCGTTGTTCTAAGTCTGACTGAAATGATTGTCCTTACACAGATATTGAACCATTTTGTGTGTGTGTGTGTTCAGTTTGTTCATGTGGGTGCAGCCAGAGTTAACTCAGAAGCTGTATGTTGGTCTGTGGCTGGCCTTCGTCTCCTCCTGCCTGCTGCCATACAAACTGCTGGGATTCATCATAGGTACATTTTATATATACTGTAGAAATATATATTTATGCACTGTATAAAAAAAAAGGGGGGGGGGTCAATATAGGGGACTCTGGGTACCCTATAGCAGACATGGGTGGATGATGACACTTATGTCACAGGGAGCAAAGCATAAATTGTGAATTCGTGCTTACACAACAGCGTGCATTCTATTCTACATGAAGTATTGATTTAATTATTTTATTCTGGTGCTGTTGAATTGAAAAGCTGCAGCATTTAGATACTACAGAAATATTTAGTAAAAGTAAAATGCTTATCAAATCACTACACACATTTTAAGAACATACCTTATCCTTATAAAGGATGTCTCGTGAGTTTAATTAAAAAGTCTGGTAGACATCCACAACTGAAACATGCACATTAGACGCCACTGACAGGGGACAAGTATGAAATGGACCCTCACTTTGATTTCTCCAGTTTTGAAAATTTCTACAAATATATTTGAGTACACAACTCAACAACATATCTAAACTAGGTCTAGCTATTGTTGACATTTTAGTGTGGTTACATTTTATATCTGTTGGGTCAGAAAGAGTCAAACATAAACAGAATGACACAGAGTTCAGATAAATTCTGATTATATTTACTCATCCAGTTTTCATAGAGAAACATTATCGTCCCCCTGGAGTCATGTGTGTCTCCACATGTCAGATACAAGTTTGACTTTGACTAAATGTTCACTCTTACTTCAGGTTCTGTCTGATGAGAGTCCTCTTCCTCCCCCTTGTCAGCCGTGTATGCAGGTATAAAGTTCTTCATCATCGACTTCATCTTTAAGAGTTGTCCCAAGCTGAGGCAGCGCTTCGACACCCCTTACATAATCTGGACCAACTTGCCCACCGACCTGCAGCTGAAGGAGCGCAGCAGCACCACCCTGAACAGACGGGTCAGTCCAAACACACAGCCCACAGAGCACTGCGCTGCTCTGGAGTCAGTGAGTGTGTGGTACACTTTATCACTTGCAGTGAGGGTACAGTATGTGTACCAATGTGTACTAAATCAGAATTATACTTACAGGTACATCTAAAAAAATTCATGGAAAAGTTTTTCTGTAATTTAACTCAAAAAGGGAAACTTTCAGATATTCTCGATTCACTAAACATAAATAAAAGATTCAGAATCTCAGAATATTCTAATATTTCCTAAGATCTATATAAAAAAAATACAATCTATCTATCTATCTCTATCAATACAGAAAAGTCCAACTTTGAAAAGATATATTTTTTATGCACTCAATACTTAGAAACACTGAGCAGCGGTCCAGTTCTTTTTCCAGATGTAAGACATTTCTGACGTCGCCTCTGACTCAGGAGAGGCTTGATACCAGTTGTAGTCCACTGACTGAAAAGGTCTGTGCACTGTGGCTCTTGATGCACTGACTCCAGCCTCAGTCTGCTTCTTGTGAAAATCTCTCAAGATCTTGAATCGGCTGTACCTGACAGTCCTCTCAAAGCTGCAGTCATCACTGTTGCTTGTGAAAGTCTTTCTACCACGCTTTGACATTCCAAACAACTTTCCATGAATTAGCTTCCAAACAGCCAGCCCTTTCAGCAACGACTTTCTGTGTCTTACCCTCCTTATGGAAGGTGTGGAAGACTGTCTTCTGGACAGCTGTCAAGTCAGCAGTCTCCCCCATGATTACAGTATTTATACCGTATGATAAGTAATTTACTTAAAATGAAATATTTAAATATTTGTTTCTTACATGCAGAAATACCAGTGGGAAAGATAAGTTGATTCATTGTGACATTGTTCTTGTGTCTCCCAATCTGATTGTATGCGAAATATCATGATTTGCATCATCATGAGATCTAATCTTTAAGTGTGAGCCACCGCACAAAAAGTGCAGATCATCGATGTCAACTCTTTGAAGCACCAATCAAGACGCTCAGGATTAATTCAGCAGCTTTTCAATGGAAGTTCTGCACTGGATTTTTATCACGGTCTTTTAACACAGTTGCCATCCAGTATTTTATTTTTACATGTTCATGTGAATCGCTCAACAACCCTAAAGACAGGCGGCGGAAACACTTGGGTATAAATCCTCCACCAGTGAACACTTTCTCACTGGTCCCAGTCACTAGTCTGATTTCAGTTCTCTGAGTTGTTGTTTTTCTTTCCCAGCTGTCTGAGTGTGAACAGGTAGGCTCCTGCTGTGTGTGTATGTGTGTGCGTTGTTTACAGTCAGTAGTGTTCACGTAGAGCCATCAGATACTAAATGAAACCAGTCAGCTGTAGTGGAAGTGATGCTCTTTTTGTTTGGTGAAATTTCATTGTAGAGTGAGACGTCCCAACAAACCTCCTGATCTCATCCGTGCTCCCCTTTACACTTTAATGACCCCATGACTTTTCCTCTAGCTAGCGCCCCCCTCAGGACAAATGTCACCTGACTTTTCAGGTTTTATGCAAATGTAGATGTGATGTACCTCTGCTGAGGCCTGATGCCGAAGTGCAGGTAAGATAGGACACTGAATAAAGATGTGTCTTCTTATTGGGTTGAATTTTTAAAGCCGTCAATTCCTGAATGTATTAAGAAATGTGAAAACACTATAAACAAGAAGTTTGATGAATAAAATCATTTTTTATGAGGAGTTCCGACCTCGTACATTTACAGATGATAAAAATACTGTTGAATGGTGGCACTTTTTTCTGCATTTCTGTAGAAGAGTTGACTCTCAGCTTTGCAAGCAGCTTCATTGTCTACCTGCAGTGATGTTTAACATGTTGCCACCCCAGCAACACCCCCCCTTCCATATGCTGCTGATTTACTAATCCAAACACCCCCCCCCCCCCCCCCCCCATCCCATCCACCTGTACAGGTTACTTCTGCAGGGGGTCGAGGCAACCTCAGCACTGCAGCTCCCACAGGTGTGAGCCGAGACGAGGACGGAGGACGATACTACAGCACCAAGAGAGGAGCTTTCCACGAAGTCTTCAGCCTGCCGGAGAGTGAGCGCCCCCTGACAAGTGAGGAATGAACTGCAGGAGGGGGGGGGGTTCAGACAGTGTGACATCTTAACCTGTCATTTATTATACCATACAAGTCTGTAAGTAAAAATAACAAACAGTAAAGCAGTCCATCATGTGACAATAACATCAGGCTTATAAGTATCATCTAGAGCCCTCAGATTAATTCAGCTGCTCAGGGGTCACTTTCCTCTGTTTCAGGAATTTTCTACAGAGTAGTTTTCACTATCCTCAAATAAAACACAAAGAAACAAAGAGTTTACAAATGATGTAAAATACTGAAGATTTATTTATTGCTTTAAAAGAAAGTTAAAAATACAGGCTGCTACCAGGCTGCTACATGACTTCAGTATAAAGATGGACAACATGGTTGGAGATGCTATGTTGTTCTTTATATACAGCCTGTGGTCCTCGATAATGTATATTATGATTTGGCTCTATGCAAATAAAATGGAATTGAATTGATTCATGCGTGAACGGCGCTGTGTTGTTGTTTCAGTGTGTGAGAACGGCTGGCGCTGCTGCCTCATCAACAGAGACAGGAAGACGCCGACTGACTACATCCGCAACGGTGTCCTCTACGTCACTGAGAAGTAAGTTCTGCACTTCCTGACTGAACCAGAACACCACAGAAACATCAGACAAGGGTGTTCAGTGAGCGTTCAGTGAGACTAGGGATGTTGTGTTAACTGATTTTACAGATTCCGGTTTCATAACATCACGGTTTCATAAAAGTAAGAATTGTAAAAACTACGATATCTAACTATGGTGCCCTGCCTGTGTGCAAGCAACTTTACTGAAACGTTAGTTGAGAAGAGGGAATTGACATAACAGCCTTATTTCCACCAATGCTGAACAATAAACTCTGTCGGAGGAGTTCACAGCGAGAGGAGAAGTTAGTTTTTTACTTTCGGCTGACATGCTGACACCCCTCCCCCGTCTCTCTCTCCTCCTGTTAACCATTATAAATGTATTTGAAAGTTTAATTCACCTATACTTAGAGGTAATAATATAATAAGGACTATATGTCCCTTTATTTCAACACATCGCTCTCAAAACAGAACTAACTGGATATAGTTGATGATAATAATAAATATTTTAGTCCATTTATTACCTATATATTGATTTTCATGTGTTGTTTTCCTTCTATAGTATCAATAATCATGAAATCTGAAACCGTGATATTTCCTCTGGCTCTGCGCCAAAATTTCATATCGTGACAGTGTGAATATCTGATTTGAATCCATAAACTTGTTTTTTTCACATTGCTAGTAAAGAGATCTTATGTTGCTGAAAGTCAATATGCTGCTTATTAGAGCAGGTCAAACATCTAAGAAGAAATGTTCTGGATGATAACTTTTTTTAATCAAGCAGAAATCACACTGCAGGACTCAGTTTTTCTGACACTTGAACAACCCCAAGCTCCTCGGTCTCTCAGGTGGGTGTCGCCAGGTGTGTGATGTCCACTAAAAAGAGTGTTAACCCCACCCCCCTTGAGGAGTGTCAGTCGATCCCTGCCCCCTCGCTCTACACCTCAACCCAAAAACCCAAAAACCTAATGGTTCTAAACAGTTACTTTCTATTTATTTATGTCTCACTTTCATTGTGTAAAAAAAAGGTTGTCAACAATGTTTTTTCAGGATAAGTTCAACAGTTGTGCAGTTGTCTTCCTGTATCTTCAGTCAGGTGGTACTGGACTCGATGGTGGAGCTGTGAAATAAAGTGTCCAGTTTGAGTGTTTGAATCTCAGTGTCCAGCAGCAGCGTCCACGGTGTCTTCTCAGCTGTATCAGTTTCAGTCTCTGGATGTCTGAACAGGGCTTAAGTGAGTCTCCTCTGTCTCCTCAGTCATCTGTGTTTCGAGAGCTCCAGCTCCAGGTCTGGATCCACCAAGAGGAACAAAGTCATCAAACTGCTCGACATTAAAGACATCCAGAAGGTAAGCCGAGTCTCTGTCTGCTGTAACACTGCTTTAGACAAAATATATACGTATATGGATGTATATATACTCAATTTGACATGTTCCTGTTCACTCTGTTATAGGTTATTTTTTCACCATTAGGTTTATTACTGGTACCCTTTATTCTCTTATTCGATAAGAGCCCTGAAGTCAGACACAGCTCTGTTCTACGAACTACTAACTGGTTTAACTCAAAACTTTTTCGTGAGAAATTGAAACCTTCAAAGTTCAAACAAAGTTACACAACAACGAAGTGCAGAAAAAACAAAATCTCACATGAAAAGGTATCAGTTATGTACAAGATATAAAAGTCATCTTTCCAACTACCTGCTGTTTATATACTCAGACAATGTTCAGTCTTCTCTGTCCTGATGTTATTACTGTTATCACTGTGTCTGAACCTACAAAGTTCCCTCAGTGTTATCATGAACTCCTCTTTTTCTGTTGAGTTGTGTTAACTAACTCAATGATCAATAATTAACTGATTAATTGAATACTGCAAAAAACAACAACATTTGTATCTCAATGTAGGAAACGACACATAACATACTGTTTTAAGGCAAAATTGTTTCTAAGATTACTTTTGTCACAAGTTAATAGAATTATAATTAAAATTCGTCCTCTGTTCCCCGCAGTACAAAGTTTTGTCAGTGCTACCTGGATCTGGGATGGGCATCTCCATAGCAACGCCATCCACCCAAAAGGTAAGAGCTCATTGTGAGGAGCTTGGCAGGAGAGCAGAGACTCTGGACTGATCTGATAAATGGTAGAAAAAGTATTCACACTTAATTAAAGGTCCAGTGTGTAAGATTTAGGTGAAAGGGATCTATTGGCAGATATTTAATGTAGAATAATCCTCATGATGTTTTCACTAGTTTGTTTCATCTAAATTATATGAATTGTAGTTTTCTTTGCCCCAGAAAAGACCCTTTATATTTAAATACTTTATATTTACATGGAGGGGACCCTCTCTACAGAGGCTGCCATGTTTTTTACATTAGTACAGACTGAACAAACTAAACACCTTTTGAGTTTTTATGACAATTAAAGTCTACCACAGTTTCTTTTTCATGTTTGGAAGCAGAGGGTGAGGTGAGGGGTGTTCAGCTGCAACATTTTAACACTAGATATCACTAAATTCTACACACTGTACCTTTAAGTAAAAAAAACAATGGTTCAGCATACACTATTACAATTTAAGTACAATTTCTTACACCTCCAGTAACTGACTTTTTTATTTTGCTGTGAACATTCACCACCTTTATATGAACTTTCATATTTACATGTTCAGCTGTCACAGAGTTACATGATCATCATAATGTCATGTTTCTGTCCACTTGATAAATCTTCAATCCCTCATAAGGTGATTTATTGTGTTACAGTGCAGCTTTTACTTTTCATGTTCATTTCATTGAGCCTTGGTCAGGTATCCTCAATCTATTGTGTGTGTGTTGTGTGAGTTTATTGTGTGAGTTCCCAAAAAAAAAAAAAAAAATTTTTATTTAATTTTATATGTATATCAACACCTTGGAAGTAAGGTTGTAAACCATTTTTATAACATGTTTGAGTCATAGTCATGTCAGGTAGCTTGTTGAAGAGCAAAAAACTGCTTATTTTGCTCTGTAGCCAGTGGCCAATATAGCAAACACAGGGTGGTGGAGAGCTATGCTCTGAACGTCCTGCAAATCACTTTCTATCTGAAGGGGCCTTCAGTCTGCCTCCCAAAAAACCCAGTCTGCTCTGAAGGATCAGGAGCTGTGTTTACTGAGAGAGTGTTTTTACTCCCTTTCCCTAGGACTCTTTAGATTCACTAAAAAGCTATTTGACACTCTAAAGGAAAGGGCAAACCCTGAACTTCAAAGTTGCATTACATGTTGAAATGTTGAAGTACAGGTACACTGCTTGAGTTAATATGAAAGCATGTACCATCCCTGTGTAGAGAAAGGCGTCCGCAACATTCCCTCTGTTCTGTTGCAGCCGATGGTGTTCGGTGCGATGATGCACAGAGATGAAGCCTTCGACGCCATCAACACTCAGTACAACAAGATCTTGTCCATGTCTACAGCCACCAGCCCAGAGACGTAATAACACCTTCACAAGATGGCTGCCTTCACACTACACTGGATCTGTTTCACTTTTTCCACCAGTGACGTACTGAAACAGCTGCTGACTCCAGTTTGAGCTGCAGATCATCAAGCTGAACAAGTCAGTGTCTTTACATTAGTGATTGATAAGAAATGAGGTTTTTCCAAGTATTATTTCCAATCACGGATTTTATATCAAATTGATTCGAATTATAAATTACTATTGTCAAACAATTATACATAAAGTTCCCACAAAATAGATCATGATATGTCTGATTGTAAATCAAAGTGTATGCTGGAATTCAAATAAAGTGCACAAACATATAAAAGCTTGTTAAAGAACATGGGGGAGGGTGAGGGTTACCTGTACTATAATCAGAGCACTAATGACTAATTATTTTCTGTTGCATGCACCTTTTTTTTTAAATTACTGTTAAAATATTCCCAATTAAATGCAACCCTTCCTATTTCAAATAATCCCTCTGTTACTTGGTACTTGGCTTGAAATCTAAAAATCTCTGCAGGGAAACTGTTCACAAATGTTTGTTTTGTTCTCACTGGAAAAATCAATCGTTTACAACTTAAGCGGAGTGCTGAATTTGGATTTTATCTGATGAAGCAGTTAGTGTCACGTCCAGCCCATCAGTCATCTGTGTCATGTCATTTCAGTTTATTTCCATTCTGGTGCACTGCACTGGAAAGTTGCACATACATGATGGGCCTCATGAAAGAACCAGTTGGTCAAACGAATTTAAGGCACGTACCAGTGATTTTAGAGAATTTGTGGCTTCCATGATGAGTGTTTACACTTCGATACGTACACAATAGGTACAAAGATGCCAAGTGGTTAAGAGCTGTGGTGCGACTCATGAACAGCCTTTCTTCAGAGTGGAATACACACTTGTTAGCCTTAAGGATTATAGTATGAATGAATTAGGAGTTAAATATGATTCGAGAATTGCCATTTGATATAATCAATAAAAATGTCTGTAAAAACTGAATATGCTGTTTATCAAATCATCATCATCATGGCTTTCCAATTCACTGAGTGTGTTTTATAGAGTTCCTACATTTCAGTAGCTGTTGGATAACTCCCTGACAGCTGCAGGCTCTTTTTGTCCAGGACCATCCTCTGTCATAACACCTCAGTGTCACATCACCTGTAACATAAACATAACTGTCAATTTCCTAAACAAAGCTTGTTGGAAAATATGTCTAAACCTCCCTTGTTTTCATCCTTTGTGTCTTCAGGGAATGAAACGATTGTTGTACTTTACAGCAGCCTTATGATCACTTATTATTACAGTGTGTTTTTATATGGTGGTTGGAGACTGTTGCTCTATGCAACATAAATGTTTTACAACTAATTGTAACATTTCATGTAAATGAGAGAATTAACCTCAGCTTTTATGTTATTTTTTTTAGCTAAAGGTACATATGTTGAAGCTAAGGAATCAGATACAACCAGCAAAACTGAAGTTTTATCTTTTCTTTTTTAGCTTATTCTTTTACTTCGGGTTTCTCTCACCATCAGTAAGCTAATGTAAGCTATTTGTTTAACCTGAGAGGCTTTAAAACCGAAACTGAAGTTGTATATTTTACCTAACTAGTTGTTTAAGCATAGCTGATTGGCTAAGAGCTTAACAATTGCAAACAATTTAAATATCTGAAATGCAAGTTTTACTGATCACAGCACTTGACTTTTGGCTTTAGCTTCTTTTCATGCTGATCAACACTTCTTCTGTTCTGTTAAGCTCCTGTTTCAAAAGTACCTTTTTTTCTACCATCAACCTAATCGGCTAAAGCTGAACAAGCTACAACAACCCAATCACGTTCTGACCTTTTTTTTAGGAAGCCAGTACGTTGCTCTAACAAATGACCCGTTGCCCTCACGTTACCATCAATCTAATCTAATCACACATCATACACATATATATTATTAGCATTATTTATTTGTTTTCTCTGTCGGGCTTTTTAAGATTAGCGCTAACTGATAAAGCATGTTTTTTTTTTGCAGATTAATGAAATATTTCCTAATATGCAAAAGTGCAAGAAAATTTTAAAATGTCTCTGTCCTTGCCGATCACTGCCGATCTAAAACTGTGGTTTTCTGTCCCTTTGAGAACAGAATGTGCGAAGTGTCATTGTGAAACTTCTGCATTTATAATTTTTAATTTGAAATCAATTCATTTCAATTCTTGTACTGATAATCATTTTCATTATAGATTCATGTGTGACAATTATTTTTTCAGTCAAATAATTGCTTGGTCTAACAGTATAAAGCCCAATTATGTTCACTGCCAAAAACTGAAAATGGCTCATTTGAAAATCTGGAACCATGTAATGTTTGAAAAATTACAATTATTAACATTCTGTCAATTGACTAATCAAATATTTTTGCAGATGCTGTTTCAATTAAATTGCTAGAAATGTGATATTTTGACTAAAAACAAAAATTAAGGAAGCTTTTTTACTACAAAGTCAAAATAGTAAATTTTTTCTTCATGAAACATTCAGATTAAAGGAAGCAGTTTCATATTCAAAAGTTTCAGTGTAAAGAAGTTTAGTAAAGAAAAAGTGCAAGGTTTTATATATAGTCTCACTCTGGCAGTTTTTGGCTCTTTCATTGCCAAATATTTTTATATCTTGCTTATCTTTAAAATATTTTCCAGTCTTCATTTTTGCAATATTGACATGGTAACCATGTAGTGTCATTTAATCTTTCTCGACTACCTTACCTTTAACTCCTTTATCTTCTTCAAGTTGTTTGTGGTTGTTTTTCCTTCAGTTTAGGTCAATTCTGTCGATCTGTTCAGATGTAAGGGTTTTATAAAGTGCTTTCATTGTAAAAAATAGCTGTAAAGTTTTCAAATGAATTGATGTTTTGTTATTAAAATGTGATGTACATTTCTTTTCTAATTTAAGTAAAATCCAACACTGACACTGTCTAATGTCGTTTTTGTGCAGTACCTGCTTCAGCCTTTTGGTGTCACCCTCTGGAGGTTGTCCTTTCTTAATAATAGCATTCTGATGATTATTCAGTATTACCTATTTTTCATTTTTCTCAGCATCATAATCATGTAAATCATGAAATTCAAACCACATTTTTCATCAGTTTATTCATTGTTTTTATTATTACTATACAATGTTTCCGGCCAAACATAAACACTTATTTACATTAGTTTAGTGTTCTATAAGTTCAACATGTGTATTTGAGTGAAACCTCTGACAAACATTTGTGATAACTACTGTGGACTATGTCCTTGAAGTTCTGTTCATTTTGGTCATAATATTTTATAGTCTTCATTATCAGCAGAAATTGTTTGATTGTTCTAGACATACAAGCAGACGATTTGTCTCTGTTTCCACCTGCTGTTTGGATCTGAGAAGTTTTAGTTCCTCATACGATGTTTTCATCTATCAGCACTAAACTGCCTACACAGCCCGAATCCCAGATATCTCCTTTTACAGCTTCCCACCATGTAAACAAGTAGCTCTTTTAAACATTGATTTCAACCGCCTCAAACTCCTCAAGTACATTTATATAGCATCTTTATGGGGTTACGTTACATTAGATCAGTTAACTAAGTATTTACACAAAAAATGAATGCGGTATAATGTTCAATTTACTCAATTGAATTAATACATAAATTGAGAACTCTGAGAAATGACTTAGCTTCTTTATTGCTGCACATAAGGTGTGTTCAGTCCACATTCTATTTCTATTTCCTCTGTCATGAGCAATAAGGATGTTAGCAGCTGATGAATCATTTGATTATAGGTGGTTCCTGCTACGTCCCTGTCATTCGTTTCCACTCACAGATCAGAGGTCATTGCATCACCATCTGAGTCCTCTGGCGGATCCCCCATCTTCACCCCAAGTCCACTGTCCAGATCTGCGTCATCGACATTGACTTTTGGGGTTTTGTCGCCAGGTTCGTCCTCCTCATCACTGTCATCCTCTCTTCTGTCTGGGATAATCACCACCTCCTCCTTGGCATTGGGGTCGATATCCTCCTTAAACCAAACTGCCTTGTATCCCTCTTCAATGCGCCTCTCCTTGGTCAAGATGGGTTTCACCTCCTTCTCATCATTAGTATCATCTGGCAGGAGGGCGTGCAGTGGCAGTGAAGACTTAACAATGGCCTCTGTGCTCATTCCCCCGTCTGGGCCACCGGAGCCTGTGCTTCCTCCATCTTCATCTTTCTGGAAGGCCTCATTGGTGTATTGGACACCCTTCTTAAGATCACCTGAACTTTGACCCAGCTTTTGGAAGGACAATACAATCAAAGAGAAAACAGTTACAGACCAAGCTTACTAGTTTACAACTGTAAAGAACCACCAAAGTCATGGTCTGCCTGAGAAACAGCCACAATGATTACACAAGAGAATGATTTTTTGTGTCCCAATCTTGGCCCTTCTGTATCATAAGACAATGAATTAGCCTCTAGGGCAAATGGCCAATATGGGGCTCCCAGTGAAGATATCCCCGCCAAGATTCAAACAAACTAAACATTTCTCCACACAAAACACAAACTTTTGGCTAATCTCTATGAACGGCTATCTGCATATGAAACCAAAAAAATTAAAAAGCAGATAGGAATGTGGTCTGCCTCTTTTGCTGAACGGAATCCAGAAAACCTCCTGCTTCAAAATCTTGTCCATCTACCGATTATTTACATTCACATGTAGAATCTGTTGTGGGATTATTTGAATCCTTACTCTGCAGGATAGATACGAATATATAGCTCCAAGTATATAATAAATCCCCCGGTCAAGAGGTGACTCACTAAATCTTTGATCAATATGCTCTAGCACCTAGCCTAATTTTAAAAAGCTAATTGTTTTGAAGCTTGTCAAACCAAAGCTAAAAGCATACTAGCTAACCAAACACAGCTAGCCAGAGTCAAACTGATTGACCTCAGGAAAAAATACAAAAGCTAGGTGTGATAAAATTACATGTATGTCTTAATGGTCCGGTGTGTAAGATTTAGGTGAAAGGGATCTAC